CCCTCTGTCTGACTCCCTCCCCTCTTTGACCACATAACATCTCCCAGCTCAGCCTGTTCCGGGGCTGGGACCGAATCTGAATCAGGAGGGCAAACGGGAGGGTGGTAGCTCCTTTGTCCTAATAGCCTGCCTGCAGCAAGCAAGGTAGGCCCTTTGTTTACAAGCCACCCAAGGAGCAAGGAGATCCGATCAGGGCACCAGGAGAGACATCGGGCTTGCATCCACAACCCACCCAGATTGGTGCTGAGGAGTTCCATCTGGACGGTCGTCCATGTTTGGGTGCTGAGGAGTTCCAGCTCGACGGGATGGTCCCTGCTTCTACACTGAAGAGATACATCCAGAGACTCAGTCACAGCAAAGACTGGACCAAGATACCAGGCCTCTCCTGGCTCCATTTGAAGGAGAAGATGGGAAGGCGCCAATGCAAGACTTCCTCCAACAACCTGAAAGGCAACATGACTTCACCAGAATCAAGGGATCCCGAAATAAGAAGAATTGTACACCCTACTCCAGAAGAATTAGAAGAAATCGACTCAAAAGTGAATTATATGAAAATAATAGAAGACCTTAAGCAGGAGGTGAAAAACTGCCATAAACAATTAGAGATTACAAACAAAAAGGTAGAGGAAATGAATAAATCGCTTAAAGATACCCAAGAAAATCAAGAGAAACATGAAAAAGCAATCAGACAGGTACGGGAAGCAGTTCAAGACTTGAAGAATGAAATGGAAGTAATGAAGAAAACACAAACCGAGGGAAGATTGGAGATGGAAAATCTGGGTAAACGAACAGGAACTACAGAGACAAGTACTACCAACAGAATACAAGAGATAGAAGAAAGAATATCAGATACTGAAGATACCATAGAGAAAATAAACACACTGATCAAAGAAAACAGCAAAACCAACAAATTCTCATCACAAAACATTCAGGAAATATGGGACACAATAAAAAGACCAAACCTAAGAATAATTGGAGTAGAAGAAGGAGAAGAGGTGCAACTCAACGGCCCAGAAAATATATTTAATAAAATTATAGAAGAAAACTTTCCCAACCTAAAGAAAGATGT